AGAGTCTTTGATGCAGGGAATGTAGATACTGATGAAAATAGTCTCTTTACCAGGATAACGGAGCACACACACAGAGAGAAAGGGGTTGATGAAGGGATTTTACAGGAGCTGGTTCCAATTAACTGTTTCAGGGAAGTAGGGTTGAGAAGACACAGGAGCACACAGGGGAGACGAAGGAGATCCAGGGACATGAAGCAGGTAAGTGAGAGCGTAGAGATGAGTCTTCATTCCACAAGGGAGACCAGACAATGTGACTGATTGAACTGTGTGCTCCTATAGTGCAGGGTGCCGATTGGTGATGACTGTCAGGTGTGTGTGCTCAGAACTCGGGTGATTGTGATTGCTGATAGGTGGAAGAGCCTGGCGTGTCCATGACAGAACCCCTCTCTCCACGGCCCGCTCCTGAGGGCTGAAGAATCCAACATCGTAGTGGATGACCTCTACCACGTGGAGCTGGATCTTGTCGATGGGAAGCATGAAACTCTGTCAGGAGGTTGGGATCAAGTAGGTCGTCTCTTGGAACCCATTATCTCTCTTCGGGACCATATCCTTCCCAATCAACTAAGTATTCTAGTCGACCACCACAATGTTGGGAACTCAGGATCTCCTTCACAGAGTAGACCATCCCATCTTCCAGCACCATAGGGAGAGGGGGTTCGTCTACGGGACAAGGCTCTGTGGGAACAGGAGATACAGGTGAGTGATATGGTTTGAGTAGTGAGACATGGAATGTGGGGTGAATCCTGTACTGTGGAGGGAGCTTGAGTTCGTATGTGACCTGATTGACTTGACGGATGATAGGGAAGGGTCCAATGAATCTGGGACTCAGCTTCTTGCAGGGCAGCCATAGACAGATGTCCTGAGTGGAGAGCCATACCTTTTGTCCTGGATGGAACGTGGGAGTAGGGGCTCTCCGGGCATCTGCATGATGTTGATGGCGTCGAACTGCTAACTGGAGATGTTGGTGAACTGAGTCCCAGACTGATGGTACTTCCGAAGATTCCCCTGATAAGGGGAACAAGGGCGGTTGATAGCTGAGTACACACTGGAACGGAGTGATATCCGTAGATGGCTGATGGAGGGAATTCTGTGCATACTCGGCGCAGACAAGGAAACGGTTCCAGGAGTTCTGGTGGTTATGGCAGAAGGTACAGAGCTAGCGACCTATCTCCTGTTTTTTTCTCGGTTTGTCCATTGCCCTGTGGGTGGTATCCAGAAGATAGGCTCACGGTCACACCTAGGAGCAAGAAGAAAGACTTCCACACTTGTTAGATAAACTGAGGAACTTTATCAGATACTATATCCTCAGAGATACCGAAATTACGAAAGACGCAATTAAAGAGTACCTCAGTAGTTACTATGGCAGCTGGGAGTCCTTTCAAGGGAACCAGACGGCAGGCTTTGGAGAATCTGTCAACTGTGACTAGGATGCAAGCGTTTCCATCTGAGGCAGGTAAGTCCGTGACAAATCTACTCCCAGGTGTGTCCATGGACGCAGAGGAATGGGAAGAGGAAGTTTTAGCCATCTCACATTCCCGGCATCCTCTGATATCGTTCGCCATTCCAGGCCACCAGAAGCGATCTTTTAGTAGCAAGAGGGTTTGATTGGTCCCAGGATGACCAGTGCCCAGGGAAGTGTGTGCAGTGTGTGCAGTGAAATGGAATCTGGTGAAGAGGAGGGTCGACCTAGCCTGTCTAGGGTTAAGCCTCTTAGCTTCCCGAAGGTATTTCAGATTGCGATGATCTCTGTAGACCACAAATGGATGGCGAGCCCCCTCAAGCCAGTGTCTCCATTCCTCAAGGGCGAGCTTGATGGCAAGAAGTTCTTTATTCCCGATGTCATAATTTTGCTCCGCCAGGAAAAGAAGGCACATGGATGGAGTTGAGGAGGATTTCCCTGCTGCTGTGATAGAACAGCTCTGTAACAAAGTTTGTAGTTCAGGGAAGGAGGAGGCGGGAACCGGGGAATATTTAAATATAAAACTTTAAAAAACAAACACAAAACTAAAGTAAAAGCGGCAGCCCCTCACGGACGACTGCTGCATAAAAAAACAACAACAACATAAAGTACAGGCCTGGTCCTCTCACGTCCTTCACTGTCGTTACTTCTCCTTTTATCCTTCCGGAGCTCCTCCGTGGGACTCGAGACCGGTGAGTGGTGCAGGTGTCGCTCATTATCATTTACTCCACCGGCCTCGCTCCGTCAGAGATGAGAGAGGGGAGAGAGGAAAAGAAAACCTCAGCTCGGTTCCCGGAAATACTAATGCTTAGTCCTCAACCAGCTGAGAGGCTCTCACTTGCGGTGCCATGCGATGGTACTGGACATCTTTGGTGGATGGCCCGACGCTCCTCCGCCTCCTAGCAGACGGCGATGGCTCCGCCTGATGAGGGCAGCCGGCAGCGAGTCCCCCATTCCCTGCTCCTCCCCAATCATGGCGGACGGCAGCAGGACGGCCTCCTGGCGAACGTCGCAGACTCCTCCGCTCCCCCTCAGATGGCAGCCACCCCTCCTTGACCCAGGAGCATGGCAGCAAGATCTCTGTCCCACCTCGTCTTCCATCGCTCCAGCACCACCGCCTCGAGCAGCCACCGCTGTTCTCCACTTCTTCCTGCTGCCCGACCTCCTCAGCACTGCGATCCCCCTCAGCAGCGAGGACTCTCTGACAGTGTATACCTCCTTTCTCCTGTGTTTCGGCACCAATGTAACAACGTCAGGATGGACCAGGAGTGGAACCGTGGTGAAGGCTTTTTGGAGGATCTTCATGGCGGATGTGGCAGCTGGTGTCCAGGACAGAGATTTGGGCTTGCCTTTCAGGAGGTTGGTAAGTGGAGCTGTGATGGAGCTGTATTTCTGGATGAAACGTCGATAGAAATTAGAGAAACCAAGGAATCGTTGAAGTTATTTTATTGTAGTGGGAATGGGCCATGACTCGATTGCTTCTACCTTCCCCTCGTCCATCTTGATACCTTGATGACTGATGTGATATCCTAGGAACTGGATTGAAGACTAGTGGAAGGTGCACTTTTCAGCCTTTAGGTACAGTTGATGTTCGCGGAGCCGTTGGAAGACCTCAGAAACGTGCTGGCGGCCTCGTTCCGGGTGTACACCAAGATGTCTTCGATCTAAAACAGCACAATGCGCTGAAGGTAATCCCAGAACACCTCATTCATATAACCTTGGAATACAGAGGGGGCGTTAACAAGTCCATACGGCATGACGAGGTATTCATAGAGGCCCGGAAAAGATCAGGAAAACATCGTGGAAAACACTCCTTGCCCCACTTCAGGACTTGTCCAGTGACCCAGGAGATGGTGGGATCATGAGAAATGAGCCATGGGCACCCTAGGTCTATCCCAGCGGTGGATTTCTCCAGAATCAACAGACAAATATCCTCCGTGTGGCATTGACCGGCTTGGAGCTTGATAGGTCCCACGCAGTATCGGATGTGTCCTCGGCCGAGGGGACTTCCGGTTATTGATTGGACCTTGTACGGGATGTCATTGGGTCTCTTCTTGAGTTGAAGTTGGTGGCATAAGTCGTCAGAGATGAAGTTGCCAGCTGACCCAGAGTAGAGGAGGGCATGGACTGAAATACAGTGGAGCGAAGTAGTGAGTTGTACAACAGTGGTGAGTGGATGTACATTAACTGAAGGAGAGGAAACCACACTCACCACAGGTTGTGGAGGACAGATGGGACATGCCCGTAGTACATGTCCATTCTGGCCACAGTATAAACATAATCCCTGGGTCAGCCGATGTTGATATCTGACCAAGGACAGACCAGTCAGATGGGTGTTGTCAATTTGAATGGGCTCGTGGGTTGGTTCTGGAGTGCTGGGATGTTATGGCTGGTGGAACGAGATGGGTAGATTTTGGCAAATACTGTCCCTCCATACAGCCTTGCATCCGATTTGCCACTCGGATTGAGAGTTGGATGAAGCACTCAAGCCCGATGGTGTCATCATAGGCTGAGAGATGCAACTGCAGAGAGTGCTCTAGTCCTTGTCAAAATGTGGTTAACAGGGAGCGATCGTTCCAACCACTTGAGGCTGCTAGCGTGCAGAAACAGAGAGTATAATCTTGCATTGAACTCGTACCTTGTTTAAGATAATTAAGTTGCTCACCGATTGAAGAATCTCCTACTGGTCGTCCAAACACTTCATAGAAGTGAGCGATGAATGTATCCAATGATTGAGTGTCCGTTCCATTTTGCTGCCACAAGGATTCTGCCCATTGGAGCACTTGACCTGTTAACAACAACAGAATAAATTAGATTTTAGCCCTCTCAGTTGGGAAACGATGCGGTTGCATCTCTAGGGCGAGCTAACACTGCAGGAGGAAGCCATTGCAATCGTCCGCTGAGCCAGAGTAGGGCGCTGGATTGACCACGGGACTGGCAGCGTAGATTGGTCCAAAAGAAGAAGTGACTGACAGTGAAACAGTTGCGGGTGCTGGCATGATCATGACTGGTGGATTGAGAACACAGCGAAGTGAATCTACCAGCTCCTGAAAGGGGTCCACGCCTGTCTGGTTCATGATGGTATGGTCTGGTCTTCTGAAGTCAGACTTCAAACACAGACAAGTTAGAACCAAACAGGCGGGTTTATTGTAATTGATTGAAATGAGCAACAATGGCAGGTGATTAATGGCAACTATAGAGTCTTTGATGCAGGAAACATAAATAATGAAGATAATGATCTCTTTACCAGGATAATGGAGCACACAGAGAGTGAATGGATTGATGAAGGAGTTTTCCAGGAGCTGGTTCCAATTAACTGTTTTAGGTAAGTAGGGTTGGGAAGACACAGGAGCACACAGGGGAGATGAAGGAGATCGAGGGACTTGAAGCGGGTAAGTGAACGTGTAGAGATGAGTCTTCATTCCACAAGGGAGACCAGACAATGTGACTGAGTGAACTGTGTGCTCTTATAGTGCAGGGTGATGATTGGTAATAATTGTCAGGTATGCGTGCTCAGAACTCGGGTGATTGTGATCGCTGATAGGTGCAAATGTCTTGTTAAATTATTGAAATATGAACTTCCTCTGAAAGATATTTCAAGTAAATATTTTATTTTAAAGGGTTTGACTGACAAAAACAATTGGAAATCCCTGCATTATATAAACAAACATTAATAAACATGAAAACAACAATGACATTACATGTCAAGTCAAGTCACCTTTATTTATATAGCGCTTTTAACAATACAGATTGTGTCAAAGCAACTTAACAGCATTAATTAGGAAAATAGTGTGTCTGACATGTCTGACATGTCCAAAGTCTTCCAGGTTTTAAATATTTTTGTCCAGACTTTCAGAATCAAAAGTTCATGAGTTTGCACTTACATATAATCGGATTGAGAAAATAGTAAGCATATTTGGCGTGCTGTCCTGAGAGCGGGCTCCAAGCCCGGAATATAGCCCGAACCCAGGGAACCCCCCAATCCCTAGTCTGGGATGAGAATAGTTAAGAGTAAGGAGTTGGGGTGGAGGAGGGATGCCGGAAAACTGTCGTGGGACAGAGGTGAGTTGGCTGTATATATTTCCTACATATCGTGCTAGTTAAGTTGATTATCTAGACGAGCTCCATCTGTGTTGTATTGATTGATTATCTGAACGTGCTCCTCCTGAACCTTGTTAATAAAACATCACTTACTGAAGGTCACTGGATATGATGAATACCGTTTTTCACAGCTACACATCACTAGTGTTTAGTAACTTGCATAATTTTTTTGTTTCATACATATTCTAATTGCTTGAGAGGTGCTTCCCCCCCCAAATTCAGAAGCATGATTTGCAAATTTATTTACATGACATTTGTGAATATAGTTCAAGCTAAATGTTATGACACTCAGCAGGAGTTTTAGAAAGGATCATAAAAAAAAAAAAAAAAGTAATTAGGAAGAATAAATAAATTATGAATAATTTACTGCCATTGTGTGAATAATATGTGACCCTGGACCACAAAACTAGTCTCAAGTCGATGGGGTATATTTGTAGCAATAGCCAAAAATACATTGTATGGGTCAAAATGATTTATTTTTCTTTTATGCCAAAAATCATTAGGATATTAAGTAAAGATCATGTTCCATATTTTCAAATAGTTGAATATCTGCCAAATATTGTCCTATTTATAAATATAGATTTATAGAAAATAAATAAGAATTCCATGGTTAACAGTTAAATGTGTTTAAAAATTAAATGCATGAAAAAAACACTGACTCGTGACACTGGAAGACAAAAGAAAAACACAAAACACTGAAAAGGGTCGGGGCTACATAAAGTGAATAATGAAAATGATTTATTGACTGTGTGTGATTATTTGAATTAAAAGGAAATTTTGATTGTAATAATAAAAATTATATGTGACTCTACGTTAAAAGCGAAATCATTAAAAGCACACTTGGTGTGTGTGAGCCGTAGGAACGGAGCGAGGCCGGTGGAGTAAGTGATAATGCATGACACCTGTGCCACTCACCGGTCTCGAGTCCCACAGAGGAGCTCCAGAAGGATAAAAGGAGGAGTGACGACAGTGCAAGACGAGAGAGGACCAGGTCTGGACTTTATTTTTTGTTTTGTGTGCGGCAGTCGTCCGCGAGGGGCTGCCGCTTTACTTTC